CTTTCCACAGAACAACTGTGTCAACTCTTGAAACTGTGCCTGCAGTCAACCTACTTCACATATGGGGAGCAATATTATAGGCAGAAACATGGGTGTGCTATGGGGTCTCCAGTTTCTCCTATTGTTGCCAACCTGTACATGGAGGAGGTAGAAAAGAGAGCCTTGACGTCCTTTTCAGGGACACCACCAAGTCATTGGTTCAGGTATGTTGACGACACCTGGGTTAAAATTAAATCTCAGGAAGTCCAACATTTTACTGACCACATCAACTCTGTGGATAAATACATCAAGTTCACACGAGAAGATGTAAAAAATGGCAGGTTGGCTTTCTTGGACTGTGAGGTCTCAGTCTCTGATAGAGGACATTTGCAAACTGAGGTGTACCGCAAACCCACCCACACAGACCAGTATTTGCAGTTTGACTCCCATCACCCTTTGGAGCACAAGTTAGGAGTCATCAGGACTCTGTATCACAGAGCAGACAGCGTCCCCACTAGCTCAGGAGCCAGGCAGAAGGAGAAATCCCACACAAGACAGGCTCTAGAGCAATGTGGATATCCTAACTGGGCCTTCCTAAAAGCAGAGAAGAAACCCAAACAGGACTCCAGTCAGCCAACAGGTGAAAAGGAGGAACCCAGACCCAGACCAGTGGTCATTCCATATGTTGAGGGAGTATCAGAGAAACTGAGACGTTTATTTTCTAAACATAACGTCCCAGTGACTTTTAAACCCCAAAATACATTACGGCAAAGACTGGTTCATCCCAAAGATCCAGTCCCCCGGCACAAACAGAGTAATGTTGTGTATGCTGTTCAGTGTCAGGAGGGTGATCAGTCTTACATCGGGGAAACTAAACAGCCACTGGCCAAAAGGATGGACCAGCACAGAAGATCAACATCATCAGGCCAGGACTCTGCAGTCTACACTCATCTCCAGGCCAGCGGTCATTCTTTCAGGGATGAAGATGTTCACATCCTGGACAGAGAGGAACAATGGTTTGAGAGAGGAGTAAAGGAGGCCATCTTTGTGAAAAGAAACCGTCCATCATTAAACAGGGGTGGAGGCCTCCGGGTTCAATTGTCCCCCTCTTACAATGCTGTGATTGCTAGTATCACTCAGCCCTCTGTGAACAGTAAACAGCCATCAGGTGCTAATGACCCATTGTTAGGCTGATGGTCCTTCTTGAGCATGTGATCAGCTGGTTTTGGTTGTCAGCAGCAAAACTGGTTGATCCACTCTGAGAAGGTGCTATTTAAGAGACTGAGCTGAAAACAGCACCTCAGACTGAAGAAGTCTCTCGGACGAGAGACGAAACGTTTCTACATTTTTTGTTGTTTTGCTTTGTTTTTTTTTTGTTTTTTTTTAATGTCCAGAGGACCAGATTTAACTTTTTTAGATTTTTCTACCTGGATTATTGAGCATGCATCAGGATATACTGGAAATAGCTCAGTTAGTTTTCAGGATTGATAAATATGGGTCAGAGGTTAAACTATTATGGATTCCTGCACACATTGGAATAAATGGGAAATGAGTTGGCTGACCGTTTTGCTAAAAGTGCTACAAGAAACAATATTGTGGATCTAAACGTTAAAATAAGTAAAAAGAGGTTAAGAATATAATAAAGTTACATATTAAGAAGAAATGGCAAGAGCATTGGGATAATGGAGACAATGCTAGATTTTATTATAATATCCAAAAAAAGGTGGGGGAATTCAGGAAATGTAAAGCATATATATATATATGCATCTGGTCCATACTCCAATCCAGAAGGTGGCGGTAATGCACCTAAAAGTTGTTTGCCAACCGCCATAAAAAGACAAGAAGAAGAAGAAAAGACAAAGAGGAGACATATGGATGCAGTTAGAGAGGACATTCTCCGTCTGACATTTGGGGTCGGGGGGGGGGG